TTCATTCTCTACGCGTCATTTCTCCCTCTAAATGAATTTTGAACTTTCGTATGACTATCTGCACTCTTGTTTGCGTGACCTTGTTTGTCTACTAAATAACTACATTTTGACATAATTTTATAGCAAGCTCATGCAAACTAAACCGTTTTTTAATGTAGCGGTCATTTAATATATTAGTGGCGAGAAAACTTTCATTATTTCTACCTATTTCATTGTTTTAACCTATTTTAATACAACATTAAGATACCTACAGTTATTAAATTGCTAGATGCTGTTGGTGTAGATACATGCGAATCATTTGAGCTATTTCCTGTCTAAATTGGATAAGTATGTTTGAAGTTCTATCCAAAACCCGAAGAGCCGCATAATGCAATACCTGGACTATATATCAGAAAATCTTTAGGACCTTATATGGTACACGTATACGATGTTTCACAATTCTACACAAAAGTGCACAATGCGCCTATTTTTATATGCTTATCCGCTGCATTATCGTTGTTTTCAGACACATATATGTTAGCATGCCCGCACCACAATAAAACACGTAATATCAGCGTGTACCGTCACACTAACGATGATGCTACTTACGACGAAGACGACGACGACGACGACGACAACGATGACGATGAAGAAGATGATGATAAACAGCAATAAAGATAATATATTATAAATACAAAGCACATAGTCTTATGGTAAAAGCCTCTTAGACCCAATACATATTTATAATTGTTGTAGAAGGCATGTTATATCAATTGATTTTTTTTATGATTTACAAAGCTGTCTAATATCTACAAATAAATTACAATCATAATTAATCTACATTTCGAGTATAACGTGTGCTTAATGTTATTCGAGAACGGTGAATCAGATGATGAGAAGTTTTATGAGCACCTAATAATTTAACCATTATTGCATACAGCATACTTTATACCTACTGCACGATTATTAAAAATTGTTTTATGTACACACAACTATTGACTGGGCGGGGCTATTGAATATAGCGCGTTATTAAATAGTTTCATAATTCTAAAAGCCTTTGTGCCGTCGCTATAGCAGCACCCATTACCTGCCAGTATGAAGGCGCAGACGCTATACATAAATAGTGATATTGTGCAATACGTATTAATATATTCACCCGAGTATATAGAGGCTATAGACTAATTTATGATTTTATATAGAAATGACATCAACAACTGAACTATCCCTCCGTTAATGTAGCGTTAGATTATGCGTGCTGCTTCGAACTATTTAACGCTACTAGCGGTTTAATTTAGAAACGTCACATATTACCTCCGCCAGGGGCTTGGCGGGGGTTATGTTTTCACCGGCGTGTGTTTGAGTGTTGGTTTGTGTGTTTGTGGGTTTGTGGGTTTGTGTGTTTGTGGGTTTGTTAACATGCACGTTTCAGTTCACTTCCGCTGGGTGCGCTGGCTGTAGACTTACAAACACGCAACCACAGGCTAAGGGGCAACCACAGTCCTCCCCCACCTGCACGCTCGCACTAATCCGGATCCAATTAATTATTTAATTAATTAATTAATTTTTCCATTTAATTAATTAATTAATTAATAAAAAATTTCACATTGAGAGAATTCAGCTGCCATGGCGGAGGTCTGTGCTCTCCGAGTGCTCTAGTTAAGTCATGTTTCTACTTGATGCCAGGTGCATGCAAACGTCTCGATAGATATTTTTACTGTCAAATGTCGTACAGTAACAGTTGCGTATCAAGAAGTTGAGGTCGTTGGATTCGGTTGAACTTCCTATATATAATACTATATATAATATATATAATATATATAATAATAATAATATATATATATATATATATATATATATATATATATATATATTATATATATATATATATATATATATATATATTATATATATATACTATATATATAACTTCCAATATATAATACCTTAGAGCTCCGATATATAACTATACTGCAGTCTGCATGTCAGGCTGCGGAATATATTTCTACCGATTTCTGGCTGAAGAATCATACCATAATAATGTGTAACGGCACTGACGTGCTTTCAGTGATGCTTGTTGCTCCCCACCCCGAATGTATAGTAGGCCTTGACAGTAATATGCTGCTACGGGGAGTGCGATCATTGATTTAACCACCGGGGCTGAAAATTCTCCGCGGATCCAGTGTCTACCTTTTTTATGCTGCCATCAATTGAGATCGGTGAACGTGTTTATAGGCCCTTGCAGCGACATCGAACAATGCCTGCGACAGCGCAGAACAATTATCCTAAATGTTACATCTATTATCGATTCTGAATTTAACGTTTTATAACTCATGTAAATAAGAGGGTATGTTTATCTCTATTCTCATTATATTTACTGCTTTAAATTTAATAGACGTAGGCCAATTTATTATTGTACCATTATATGTTAATGCGTTTAGAATTGAACGCATAAATCGGATTGAATTTTGATGTTCAGACTACAACTATATACGGTAAACAACTTGCAACTGAAATTTCTACAGCCGATCACTGTGCGCCCATACTAATTACAGTGTGTGACTGCCCAGCGAGAAGGGTAGATAGACAGAGAAAGAGAGGGTGAGAGGCAGAGAAACAGGAGGTGCGTGAGAGAGAGGGAGAGAGCGAGAGCTTGGGAAAGAGAGGGGAGGGAGAGAGATCGTGAGAGAGCGTGTGTGCGAGATAGATTGTGTGAAAGAGAGCGCGCGCGCGTGTGGGAGAGAATTTTCACGGGTCGACAGATTTCGTTTAAACATTATTCCACCCATTAACAAAAATATTAATAACAAATACAGTAAGTTATTCAACATAACCACATTTATTAAGCATAATCTCTCCATTAACTTACAGTTATCAAACTTTAAATATATAACATACACATGTAACAGGGTAAGACTGAGGGAATGTTGTAAAATAAGGTATGCCTATGTATAACAACGTAATAAAAATATATAACGTAAGTACAAAGTATACGTAAATATGTTAAATAAACTCATACATCACAACTCTACAAAAAAAACATTTCCACATACACACAAACGAAATGAAAATGCTCAATGCCATTTTAAGGTTTAGTATCTGAAACGTATGGAAAACAAAACCCGATGGAACGCAAAAATAATTGTAGTTGTTCCATATTAAAGAAAAGTAAATATAACCGATTCTTTATAGATTGCAGCTCATATGACTCGTCTATAAGCCAATCTCAGAACACTATTTCTTAAATTTTATAACACGTAGATAGTATTTTATAGAACACAAACATGCGTAAACACAGTCATGATTACAGCCATCATGTGTGACAATTATGTGTGTAAAAGACACACAACTATATGGATGAGTACATCCATAAATTATGTTAAACGTATTAGGGAGCATCTAGAAATCACTGCAACAGGTCACTGATGTAGTTGCAATATGTCTAAATCAAATAAACGGCGTACGTACGTAAACTATCGCCATTCGTTTCAACCCACGAATGGCCAACACAAACCTTGAACTACTAAAACTTAACTACTTCATTTTTTTGTGCACTGCACGCACGGGTTTAGCTCCTGGGCTCCTCCTAAGCTTCTGTTCTACAGCCAACAGGAAAACATCCTCGATTGTATCTAGAAATGTTACAAGATGCAATGATGCCAATACCACATTCGCAGTTATAATATTGTGTATTATGAGTTCTAATATGCACATACGTGTATCGAGCTGGACTAAACGCAAAAGAAAAGCGCACGAGTTCACTTAATTATATGAAGCACAATTACATAAACTAATATCAATATAAATTTACAGCTGAAACTATATAAATATAATGTAAATACTCAAAACGATTAACTATATCTCAACCAATGACATCCTATGAAACGAAAAGTAAATGATTTAGTATCATGATTCAGAGTGTAAAATTTCTCGAAAGCACCACTAGCAAATTTAACAATAGCAATCTATAAAATTTCAATAAAATGCATTATCATCAACAGATTGACTATAGATGAAGCACGCCATACCTGTTATTTCCCGTATACTGAGATTGACTAATAATTATCAGACAGCAGTGTTATATATTAATATCCTGGTACAAATAAACCTTACGGTACAAACGTCTGCATGCACGCAGAGATGCCAAATCTCAACTATCTGAATGATACATTCCGATACGGTAGCGATTTAAAGCTACGTGCACACAACGTGCAGTAGCACTTTGGCCAAAACACTTACGCTATGTAAACGTCTCAAAAATGGAATCCTTCCATTTACACAAATAATCACATTGCAGAATATTTCCCTACGATAAATACCGCGCGCGAATGGAGCTGCAACAGCAGCCGACATAGCAAAACTGCGACAATAGCAATTCCTGGCATGCACTGGTTGTCAAAGTAAACAAGTACATAGAGATCTCATTATGAGATTTGTTCCCCTTGAAACCAATAATACAATTAACAGTAATAATAACTTATCCCAGTAAATATTCGTATCGCGAGTTCAAAAATAGAAACCCAGTGAACGAATGAACATTAAAGCATTCAGTAAAGTATGTTCGCAATGTAGCACATAACTGCGCATTACCACATTATACAGATATCAATCAGATAACAGAATATCAGATACAGTATATCAGATTATCAGATATTGGATAAACGGTATTATATAAAACGCATTCTGAAAGAGGAATTTTCCTTCAGATTTTAGAACCTTTTGCACATTACATACATAGAGAGATCAGACGCCACAGGGATCGTTTCCGCAGTGAGCTATATCGGACATGATATGACGTTTCGATAAAACCGGCTCACCAACAAATAAATACTCTAAAAAGCACAATTACTTTGGCTAACCATAACAAGTGTTGCAGTACTCAGCTGGCACTACGGGGCAGATAAGGTCTATGTCCTCCTGACCTCTGTTTGACCTGGCTCGGTTAGCTATTTCTGACTAATATATATATATATATATATATATATATATATATATAATATATAATATATATAGGGTTAGTCAGAAATAGCTAATTCGCGCGTTATTCAAAGAAATCTTGTGTGCCAAACTATTTCGGTGGCGTAAGCCTTCCGGTGCTCACATATACATAGCAAAGGGATTGGTCGAGATTTTTACGCTCGTCGCTGTCCTAGATAGGCAGACTGAAGCACGGGTGCAAAGTGCCTATAGAACAGGAACTAACGGGTAGACGTGGCTGGCATATATGTACAAATATATTTAGTTGATTGTAACACCAACATGACTGTCTTGAAGGAAAACCCCAAACCTGACCACGACTCATGTTTTGCTCTTGGTCTTCATGATTGAAAATACTAAATTTATGATTGAACATTTCTTCGATCGCATATCATGAGTGACTCTGTGAAACTAGCAGATTATTACACGGTATCCATACGTCTACATCCGGCAAAGTAGACATCATCCAATGTAAGGCAACATATTTATGCTGGCAAGCTCGAGGATATATGCAAATAATTGAACTATATATACATATAGCTTGCTGCTTATGCATGCTCTGTTGGTTTCCCTTCCACATAGCTGGAAATGTGTTCATACAGCATACAACAATAGGATGGCAACATTCAAACTAGCAACATGCCAAAGTTTATTGACTAGTGAAACTAAATTGTGTTATATTTATAAAATATAGCACGTCAACTGCTTATGTCAGATGGTGACGTTTCTTTTTTCCATTGACGCCTAGAAAGTGAATTAACGTACGCATGGATTTACCCATGTTACCTAAGAAGTGCAGTTGTTAGTAACACACACTTCAGTGCCAAACAGAGCGCCTTTAATTCATTTGCTAGGTTTGTAATCACGGGATACTAATTAATACCAAATCGCGCGAGTTATGCTAATAAACTTAAAGTTTAGTCGTAGGTTTACTCATCTGCTGGTAGTTTGCACTCGTTCGCTTGCCCATTGCTACTGAGATACTTCTCGTGCTACTCCACATGTGATGCTCTTCTGCAGACAACCGATTTAATGGTAGATAGCCATGCTTACCATGGTTGTCACTACTCACATGGCCAACCTGCCCATCGTCACTCACATAACCCCGCTTTCCATGACCACCGTCGTCACTGGCATGACCACGTTCTTCATAGATTTCGCCGCCACTGACTTGGCCACTCGCTCCGGCAACAGCAGTGACACGGCCATGTCCACTGCGACCGTCGCCATCACGGTGTAAGCTCCCACTGTGGTGTTCAGCACTGGTGCTACGATGTTCGTAATTGTCACCAGTAACGTTATCGTGGCCAGTATGGCTATCACGCCTGTAATTATGCTCACCATGGCTGTCCCTTTCGTATCCACGCCCACCGTGGCTGTCCCTTTCGTATCCACGCCCACCATGGCTGTCGCTTTCATATCCATGCCTATCATGACCGTCCCTTTCATATCCATGCCCACCATGACTGTCCCTTTCATATCCACGCCCACCAAGACTGTCTCTTTTGTATTTATGCCCATCATAATTTCCCCTTTCATATCCACGCTCACCACGCCTGTCCCTTTCATATCCACGCTCACCATGACTGTCGCTTTCATATCCATGTCCATCATGACTGTCCCTTTTATAGCCACGCCCACTATCACTGTCCCCAGAATATCCACGCTCACCATGCCTGTCGCTTTCATATTCATGCTCACCATGACTGTCCCTTTCATATCCACGCCCACCAAGACTGTCTCTTTTGTATTTATGCCCATCATAATTTCCCCTTTCATATCCACGCTCACCATGCCTGTCCCTTTCATATCCATGCCCACCATGACTGTCCTTTTCATATCCATGCCCACCATGACTGTCTCTTTCATATCCACGCCCACCATGACTGTCGCTTTCATATCCCTGCCTATCATGACTGTCTCTTTCATATCCATGCCTATCATGACTGTCCCTTTCATATCCATGCCCACCATGATTGTCTCTTTCATATCCATGCCCACCATGACTGTCACCTTTGTATCCATGCCCACCATGACTTTCCCTTCCATATCTATTCCCATGATAACTTCCCCTTTCATATCCATGACCATCATGACTGTCTCCTGAATATCCACGTTCAAAATTACTGTCTCCTCTGTGCCTATGTTCATCATCACTTTCCTCTGAATGCCCATGCCTTCGATGACTCTCACCTGTATTCCGATGCCTACCCTGTTTGGCCTGCATGTATTCACGCCCACCATGAATTTCTTCTGTATTTTTATGCTCATGACGACTGTCTCCCATGTGTCCACTGTGTCTGTCTGCTGTGTGTTCATGCCCGTGATGACTGTCTTCTGTGTGCCCACCTCTGTGATGATTGTCTCCTGTGTATCCACGCCTATCATGACTGTCTCCGGTGTGTGTATGCCCATGATTACTGTCACCGGTGTGTGTTTTCCCATCATGACTGTCACTGGCGTGTCCATGCCCGTGATGACTGTCCCCTGCGCGTCCACGTCGACCATGAACGGGACTTGCCCCTTCGAGTTCCAATCCCTTGTGACTGTCGTCGATGTGGCCATGCCCAGGTAGACTAACCCCTGCATGTCCGTGCCGACCATGGGTATCTTCACCATGGCTGTCGCGGCTATGGCCGTGCATACCGGGGCTGCTTTGAGCATGCTTGCTGTGATCGTTGTCACTTCCCTGGCCATATCTGCTGGCGCTGTCAGTGATTCCATGACCATGTCTACGGCTGTCAGGCACCGCCAGTCGATCCGTATGAGGATTTTCAAAAACCATTTGCGTTGCACCTGGCTCTGCAGGAATAGCTTCAAGAAAGAAGATATGCCAGTGAGATTCAATCATTTAAATGAAGCTTTAAAATAAATAGAGGAACAAGTCATCGCAAGATAGCTTACAGGTAGTAAAACTAGGGTGAACCAACAGAGAACGGTGCCTTATGGAACCTAACAGATGTGGGAGGTTGTAAAACCTAAAATATGTGGAAAGATGTGGAACCTAACAGAATGCAAAAGTGTGATTTGTAGGATACAACAGCTTCTACGATGCATTGTGAAATCCAAGTACAGACTAACTTATAACAAGAGATGAGGCACATGAATCAATGATTTTAGAATTCTAGGTAAAACTAGGTTGGAGCAATTGAGTGGGAACAAGTCATGGTATGTACAGCATTTCACAGAATCTAGGCACAAATGGGCTGGACCAAGAGAGATGATAGACTTTGCAATATTTACAATACTCCGTCGAACATAAGAACAGACCAGGCTTGACCAATGAGTGGGTAAATGCTGTAGCACCAGCTATTTCATGCAACGTAGGAAGATAGCAGCCTTTAACAATGAGAATGTTTATGCAGCACCTTCCATATATTTTTTGAGGAAATTTGATTTGTACCAGGTTGGAACTACAGGGAGACCATTAACACAGAGCGCAATAAATTAAAATAATAATAATAAAACGCCTATCAAAACAAATTCATCTATTCAGCCTGATGACTGCCAGAAAATAATAAGGCAGAGAAACAGATAATCATGCAAAACGTGTGCAGCTTTAAAGTGCTATTGGCAACCAGATCTACAGGTAAAATCGTTTTGCATATATAGTTTGCTCTTTCCTAACATTTTTTGCAACCCTTATATGGTTAGACATAAAGCAGATCATGCACCTGCAATGAAACCACCACATAACATATCTGATGTTGCATGTACACAAGCCAAAACATGCGTTAATACTTTCCTTAAAATGTTAAACAATGAATGTACAGTCCTATCCGCTCTGTACTAAACTGTTAATAGCATGTGCAGCAATACATTGGTACAGCTCCATGAGAGCAAAGAGCCTATTACCGGATCAATACACTAAACAGCAGGCAGCACTTTGCAGTAATAACTAGCTATTACTACTTATCACATCAGCTTGGGATCATGCCATGCACAGTTCACAATATATTAGGTGCAGAAATAAATGGTAGGAGTGGAAGGAGTGAGGAATAATAATTATTGATACAAACTCCATGAATTGCAAGAAACTATGAGACCATCTTGACTGAGGCAAAACTCTTATTACACATTTCATTAACCTACAACCTATCTTCATCAAAGTAACATCCACTTCCAACATGTACAAGCTATATTTCACTGTCATGACCTTCCCAATGAGATAACGTCATCATCAAATCAGTACTCAAGTTCTTCTGCCATATGAACGTTCTCTAGCTCTACTAGCTATCTTTAATTAAATTTTTACCTGCTGATGCCGCTTTAGCCTGTAGAGGGATCATTTCTCGGCCTTGTTTACCAAAATCAGTCTGGTATGCTTTCTCCAACTTCCTACGTTCAAAGTCGGCCTCAATCTCATTCTTTGTGCGTGGGATTCTGAACTTCACACAGCAGCAAATGGCTATTGCTACAAAACACGAACTGCATGTAACTACAAATTTTGAACAAATATATGTGCTATAAATACAATGCAATTCCATGCAAGCCTATATTATGCTGAAGCAAAGGTGATCCAGGGCTGCCAACTCTCACGCATTGACCGTGAGACTCACGCATTTTGACCAAATCTCACGCTCTCACGCTAATCTTACAATATCTCACGCACAGCAAAAAAATGCTGAGATATATCTCATGCATGAATATCTCTTCATGAATAAAACGCTGAAATATCTCACGCACAGCAAAAAAAATCTTACAATATCTGAAAACAGTCACTTTAGTATGCACCAAACTGCACAAATTGAAGTTATAAAATTTATGCAAAAGCTCCCTACCATGGGAGGGGGAAAACCCTCCTCCCACGCCCACCCCCGCTCGGTCGCTTCGCTCCCTCGCATCTCACTCTCACCTATCACCCAATGTTGGCAGCCCTGGGTGATCCCATAATACGTTATGTTATGTTATGGTATCAGGTGTAATAATATCGACTATATATTTATATTATGACACTATATTATGACACTATATTATGACTCCATATTATGACACTCCTGATGTTATGTTATGTTATGTTATGTTATGTTATGTTATGTTATGTTATGTTATGTTATGTTATGTTATGTTATGCTATGCTATGCTATGCTATATGCTATGCTATGTTATGTTATGTTTGTGATGTTATGTTTGTGATGTTATGTTATGTTATGTTGGTTTGCTATGTTATAGGGTTCGCTGTGGATGTTTTAAAGTTTGAACCAAAACTTGAGCCACCGAAGTTATTTTTTAGCCAACAATTAAAAACTATAGCCCATGTTAACTTTACCATATGTGCTAAGCAAGGCATAAACAGGGCATAAACAGGTGATGGATATGGGGAATCAGGTGTACAAAAACCTTTTTAATGAAGTAATCAAGTAAAAATGAAATTATGTAGCTTAGTCTACACAAAACTAGGTTGTTGCACCGTCGCACGGTGGTTCCACCAAAGGGATAGGTTACGGAATTTGTTAGTACATACACAACACAATTTGACGATTTCATTATCCAATCGTAATTTTGTGAGAAAGTTAAATCATTCACAAATTGTATTCGCCACTTAGTGTACTAAATTTGTCACGGTTACGAATTCGTCAAATTTTGCGAAGGTGGCGAACGTCAGCGGTAGACCTGATGTTGTATTATGTTATGATATATTATATTAAATATTATGTTACGTTCTTATACTTGTAAGTGTACCCTACATTGGACATAGTGACAAGGTAGTGCAACTGCATTTAGCAAAGCAAGTCTATAGATGATGCCGAGGTTTAAATCACTAGTTAGCCCCAGAACACTAAACCATGCCAACACCATTCCAAACATTAATCCCTGCAGTTTATTTAAATAGTTTTATTGCAATAATAAGTTATAAAATGTAGAAGATTTGTAAAATTAAAACATTGTGAATACTATATATTTAATTTGTATGTAGACTGCTACTATTTTGTCAAGCATTACTTACTAATAACCATCAAGCCAGCACCAATTATTCCTATGATGTGCCATAGTCTAAAAGGTCCCAGGATGACAGACTCTGAAGTCAATGGCCCTTGTGTGGTTGTGGTCTCCTTCTCGACTGGCTTATAGAACTCGAACGTCTACATAAAAAAAAAACATTTATTCCCGCTCTGCTTTCTTTATACACGATAGTCACTCACATATTTGAATTAAGAATAATAAATAATTATAATAATAATAACACAATGATTTTATTCTAAAGCATACCATATCAGCAAGTTTAGACATAGTTCATCCATTTACGTGTCTCGCACATAAAATGCTGAGTGGTTGAATGTTCAAAATTCTGCATACAATGATTCATTCATTCCCTCCACTTCTGAGGTTTTCTGTATTAACATTCAAGTTCACCTTTCACAGTTTCACCAACCCGTCACAATCTTATGTAGTGTAGTTATCCATGTGTAGTTAAAAAGGAAGTGAAACACTGAAAGGGTTAAATAAGACTACAATATAAGTTACCAAGTTATGAGATATGGAGTTAAAAACAGAATACAAGCTGAAACACGAGTGCTCATTACAGTGCTGGTGTCTGTGATGGAAGACAAAGAAATGATATTGGATAAGAACAACGAGGATTAAGGACAATGAGAGTATGGATGGTAAATTTGATATAAAGATTTAAGCTATTTCAATACAACCATAATACCGTCATAATACCAGTACTACTAGTCTATTACTAAAAATTAATAGAATTACACCAAGTTGACTAACTTAGAAGTTACACTACAGTGGCGCCACACATATCACTGTACACTTCTGTTGGCCTACATGTAGCGATATGCTAGTGTATACTGGCAATGTGGCATCACTGCTTATATTTATTTTTATATTTATTGCATTGATTGCCATGGCATTACTTAGCTAGTTTTGCAGTTTGATGAGTGTTGTTATTTACAGTGTTACTGAGTGTCCACCTCTAATGCCCCTGTCACACCTACAGGGTGGGAGCTGGCGACAGCGTTGCGCTCCCGGAATTTTGACATTTTTACCAAAGCGCACCAAAGCGCAGTGACATTGCCGAAAATCCATGACAGGGTAGCTTAACAGTAGCTTACAGTACACTCTTGACTCGCTTATTATGCTCTCACTGCGACCCTTAGCGTTTCCAGTTTAATCTTCAGTGCGCTCTCAATGCGCTCCCACTGCGCTCAGTGCGCTCTGTGCGCTCTCAGTGTGTCCAAGTCGCTCTCGTTGCGCTCTTACTACGCTCTCAATACGTTTGCAACTCGGTCACTGCGCGTGCGCGGCGTGTATATATAGAGCCTCCTGCGACCTTCAGGATCAGTCTACGTTCAGCCGAAGAGCAGATGCACACTGATTGTGTACAGAAGATGAAGCTGTATTTATACAACAAGTGCCGCAGAGCGACAGCGCTCACCTGACGGCAGGTGTTCTGATGCTAAACTCACTGGCAAACGAATCAAGAGCACCCGCCCATCGCCGCGTTTGCTCTCCCTCGTTGTCTCTCTCATTCCTTCTCTTTCGCTCTCTCGCTCTTGCTCTCTCTTCCCTTCGCGCTCTCTCTCTCCCTCTCTCTCTCTCGCTCGATCACACTCTCTCTCTCTCTCTCTCTCTCGCTCGATCACACTCTCTCTCTCC